TATTTTTTTTAACATAAATTTGAATAAAAATATTAAACTCACCTCAACAGATAATGTGTTGCTTTGAGAACTAATATTTGCACTGGTAAGAGCCAAACACTGATTACACACTTTCGTAACTGCTTGAAGAAATGAGTGATTTGGAATACGAATTCCTACGAGAGATGTGTCTGGATTAAGATTAGGATTCAGCTCCGATGTTCTTTCTAAAACAACTGTTACTGGCCCAGGAAGTAAATCTTCCAATAAACTTAAAGGTATGGTAATCTTTCCCCATCTTCAAATAATAATATTAATAATAAAATTTAATAAAGTGTTCATTTTTTTAAAACTTTAAAGTTATAAAATAGTACATCAGTTATTAATGAATATCTTTCTTTTTCTATTCAGAGAATATAAAGAAAAAAAATAACATAAACAAGTCAGTTCTTTATAGGTCCATTAAAAACATTTTTATAATAAAATCATTGACTGCTAATATCATTTAGAAATTTGTTCACTTACTTTGGAATGTCTCTTATATCTGAAACACAAATAGCTATTGGTTTCTTTTGATCCCTTCTTTTTATTCTATACAATGCATCCACTGCTTGATTGTTTTGGGCAAGTGCTGCAATTCCATATATTGTATCTGTAGGCACTGCTATCAACTGACCATTTGACAGGGCTTTAACTGCTTGTTTTATTGCTAATAAGTTAAGTTTTAAAACTTATTAGTTTTTAAATATTATCATTAATTACAACATATTTGAAGAACTAAGAATTAAATTGAAGACTGAATTATTTTTACTGACTATTATATATAACAGAGGGAAAGTATGGCAATTGGTCAAAAAAATAACCTCCCCAAGATTTTTACATTTTTGAGCTCAGGACAACTTGAAACATCAAGAAATGAAAAAAAAATTGGTAGTTTTCTTCTGTATGTATGGATGTTAGTGAGTGAGTGAGTGAGTGGGGCACAATTTTGTTCACCCTTTTGAGGCTTAATAACTTCTGTGCTTTTTGTCAAAAATTTCTGAAATTTTGAAGTGAGGTTTGTTTATTAGGGGGATTGATACTGTTAAATTTTGGTGGTTAAAGGTCAACGGGGTAGGGAGATAAAGGCAGTCATGTGTATCTCCAGTAGGGTCGGACTTAATGATTTTAAGCATTTACAATTTTTTTTTTATAAAACCCATCCCTACCCTGAAAATTAAGCTTTTTGCCATTTTATAATAGTTAACAATATAAAAAGTTTTTAAAATAAAATATCATAACAGATAATGCCACTAAATGTGGCCAAGAAAGTTAAGCAACTTGTTGCTGGATTTTTTTCTGTATGTTGAATATAAGCATAGTTTCTATTTTTTCAAGATGTATATTTGGAAGAAAGAATTTATTTAACTGTTTAAAGCATACAAGTAAAACTTATAATTAACTTTTATAAAATTATAAGTATAATCTTATAATTAAAAAATTAAACAAATTATAAGATTATACATGTAATTAAAAAATTACTCAAAAGACAATAATTTAAATTAACAAATTTTAAAACAAGTTTGTTAAAACATTCATTTACTGGAACAACATTTTGATGGCAATGACCTTCCATAATGGCTATATGGCCATTCTACAATGGGAAACATTCCCTTAAAAATATGAATCATATGTTTTAAACTTTAAAGGGCTACTTTTTTTTATATTTTTGAGGGAAATTTTACAAATGGCTGGATGATCAATGTGTTTAAGACATCAGTCTACTGCACTGGGAATCCAGGATCAAACCACTAAACACTGGGTAGTTGAACACAGGTTCATGCCTGGCAAACAAGGTGGCCACATGGAGTTTTCTAGATTTCCTTCATGTCTGTAATACCTAAATGAGGGCCAGTTTCCCTTAGAAAGTCTTCCAGGACGCATGCCCATGTTTGCATTGTCACAAACAAATAAACCAGTGTTTCTCATGTGAGCGTTTTTCCATGTTGAGGGGGGCGATTAGCAACAATTTATATTTTGGGGGGCGAAAAACAATTTTCTGGGAGATATAGTAAAACATTATATTAAGAATAATTAGATATTTTATTTGTTATATCGTACAATAATTAAACAAATAACATTATACTAGTCACTAGTCTATTCAATACAGTACAAATTTGGCGTTAGTCTTGTCCCTCGGCATCGGAATTTTGTAGTGAAGGGGTCAATACTATGTAACAGTTTCATTGAAGGGGGCGATACTACATTGAAGGGGATGATGATTCGTTAGAGGTTGAGAAACACTGAAATAAACCAAACCCATAACTTTTTCATGGATGGTCTGTTCCTGAAATGTCAATCCTCGTCCTTTCCACCCAGCCACCTCATTGTAGGCCTGGCCAAACCCATAATGGAAATGCCAATATTGAAAAATTTTGATGAAATTTGCAGCAAATGTTAACAATGTTAATAGATACCTAATGACCAACCAATACAGATGAAATATGTCTTTCCAGTTTTGATAAATTTGGCACCAAAATTTGTAATTATTTCCAGAACACTCATCCATAGCATAAAGCCTTGATTCTATTTGCACTTTCCAGTGGTAGTAACAAGTGGTGGTTAGTTACTATGGAAGCAATAGCAATCTCACAAGAGATTGCTCTAGAAGTTCACTGTGTTGCTAAGAAAAATTCCTGTATGCTGAATATTTGCCACAGTTGCTAAGAATCACTGCTTTCAATAGACAATAAAGTGATAACACATACATGATGCCAGAACAATACAGCAGCATTTCTCAAATTTTTCATTTCCTCGATCCTATATACAGTAATACCCCAAACTTACATGATAGGTGGGACCAAGCGATAACCACGCAGGTTGAATTTGCATAAGTCGGGGTATAATTTCACAATTCTTGTAAAATCCAAGTCAGATGTATGTAAGCTAATAAATGTTCTCATTAATCTTATCTCGTCTNAGATATAACAAATACAGAAATAAATAACACAAAATAAATTGTAGCTATGTGTCAATTCCGCACAACACATCCGAACATGTAAGCTGAACAATAGTGTGGGGGAGTGAGTAATCAAGAGTTGCATGGCGCTCAAACAAAATACAAATCGATGAGATTTGAAAATCGCGTAACTCCAGGTTCGCATAAGTCGAGGTATTACTATATATATATATATGTTTGTAATGGTTCCATGACCCAAATTTCATAATATAAAATTTTTAAAAAAAACCTGGTAAACCAAAGTGACCATATATAAGACAACAAAATAAAATATATGCATTATTTATTGATAACTTCTATGTGTGAAATATAACATCGAGTACATTTCTATTAAAAGCGGTTCAGGCCAATTTTGATTTGTAACAAATAACTTTCAATAATAAAAACTGGAATTGAAGTTAGTTAACTATTAAAAAATGTAAGTCTGAAGATCGTAAATAAAACAGACTGTTTCGAAATTATTCTGGAGTCTATTTTACTTTGAACAATACAGGTAACCCCCGTATAACACGGCACTTCTATAGCACGGATTCGCTCTAACAC